ATGGAAGCATTTGGGGCATTTTCAGTAAGAAAGTCCTTTTGCTGCACAGGACTGGACTGCTTATTTCAGGACTGTGAGCAATTTTGGCCCCAGCTCACCAGGCATCATCCAGTCCTTCCATTGTGATAGCCAAAGACAGCTCCCTGGTACTACTTCCAGGTGGGAAGGATGAATTGAAGGTGTGCAGAGGAGGAGGGGTAGGCAGCTGGGGAGAGAGCTGATGATCCTGGACAAGATCTGGCTAGAGCAAAGGAATTAGTTCCACTGAGGAGGAGAGAAGGACACCCAGCACCACCTATCCTTCAACTCCTCATGCTGCTAGAGAGGAAATAAAGCAACTGACAGATACCCCTTTTCTTCTGTTTCCAAACAGTTTCACTCACACACACTGAAGAGCAGTGAAAATTAAGGTGAAAAGCATGGTCTCTAGGCCTAGGTTCAAATCCCAGCTCAGACACTTACTAATTTCAGCAAGAGGAGCGTTGTTTTTATTTTTTTATTTTTTATTTATTTTTATTTTTATTTTTATTTTTTTTGAGTTGGAGTCTCACTCTGTCGCCCAGACTGGAGTGCAGTGGCCGCTCCCGGCCACCGCAACCTCGACCTGCTGGGCTCCGGCGATCCTTCCGCCTCAGCCTTCCAAGTAGCCGGAAATACAGGCATGCGCTACCACGCCCGGCTGATTTTTTGATTTATTGTAGAGATGAGGTTTCGCCTGCCCAGGTGGGTCTCGAACCCGCGGGCTCAGGCAATCCACTCATCTCGGCCTCCCAAAGGCGCAGGATGACAGGCTGAGCCACCGAGCCCGACCGCTTCCCGTTTTCTTGACAGGCTTAAGAGGCTGGGTCATCCTCCAAAGGACTAAACTGGGATTTGAACCTAGGTCTCCGTCTCTAGTCTCTTTCTCAGTGCATTCTCCCACATTTTTCTCCAAACTTATACAATTAAGTACAAACTATTTACAAAAGTCCCACGGCAGGAGAGGAGGATCGCTTGAGGCTCAGCGTTATAGACAAGGTTGGGCAACATGGCAAGACCTCATCTTTACAAGAAATCAGAAAATTGGCCGGACTCGGTGGCTCAGCCTGCAATCCCAGCCCCTTTGGGAGACCGAGGCGAGTGGATTGCCTGAGCCCGCGGGTTCGAGACCCACCCGGGCAACTTGGCGAGACCTCGTCTCTACAATAAAAATTTTTTTTTAAATGAGCCGGGCATGGTAGCGCGCGCCTGTAGTTCCAGCTACTTGGAAGGCTGAGGCGGAAGGATCGCCGGAAATGCACTCCAGCCTGGGCGAAGGAGGGAGACTCCAACTCAAAAATAAAAATAAAAAATTAGCCCAACGTGGTGGCAAGTACCTTTAGTCCCAACTACTCAGGAGGCTGAGGCGGAAAGATCACCTGAGCCCAGGAGGGCCAGGCTTTGGTGAGCCATGATCATGCCAGTGCACTTCAGTCTGAATGATAGATTGAGACCCCAATTCAAAAAAAAAGGACAAGATATATATTTTTAACCCAATCTGCCAACATCTGCCTTTTAATAAGATATATTAATCCATTTATACATAAAATGATTACTAATAAAGATGGATTTAATTGTGTCATTTAGCTACTTGTTTCCTGTATTTGCTTGTTTGTTTTTTGTCAGCGTCTCCCTCTGTCGCCGAGGCTGGGGTGCAGACACACGATCATGGCCACAGCAGTCCCTCAGTCTGCTGGGCTGAGGTGATTCTTTTGCCTCACAACCTCCCAAGTAAGTAGCTGGAACTCCAGATGTGTGCCACCACACCCAGCTGTTTTTTGTTTTTTTTTTAATTGTAGAGACGAGTTCTTGCACGTTGCCCAAGCTAGTCTTCAACTCCTGGGCTCAGGTAGTCCTCTCACCTCTGCCTCTCAAAGTGCTGAGATTATAAATGTGAGCCACCATGCCCGGCCTTTTTTCTGTCTTTTTTATTTTTTGAGTCAGAGTCTCACTTTCTCACCCAGGCTGGAGTGGAGTGGCAGGCTCATGGCTACCACAGCCTCAACCTGCTGGGCTCTGGTGATCCTTCTGCCTCAGCCTTCCAAGTAGCTGAAAACATAGGCATGTGCAACCACGCCCCAGCTAATATTTTGATTTATTGTGGAGACGAGGCCCCACCATGTTGCCCAGGCTGATCTCGAACCCCTAGACTCAGACAATCCTCTCACCTCTGTCTCCCAAAGTGCTGGGATTACAGGCATGAGCCATCACACCTGACTGAAAGTTTTTAATATCTGTAAGTTAAGTTCCCCCTGACTGTTCTCCTAAATAGTGTTCTTGGCTATTGTCAGTCATTTGTTTACTTTTTTGACTTACTAGTCATATTTTATTTATCTGTGTGCGTGTGTGTGTTGGAGTTTCACTCTGTCGCCCAGGCTGGAATGCCGTGGCGTGCTCACAGTCACCCCAACCTTGACCTGCTGGGCTCCAGAGATCCTTCCGCCTCAGCCTTCCAAGCAGCCGAAACTACAGGTGTGCACTACCACACCCGGTTAACTTTTGATTTATTGTAGAGACGAGGGCTCGCCAAGTGGCCCGGGCTGGTCTTGAACCCGTGAACTCAGGCAATCCACTTGCCTCAGTCTCCCAAAGTGCTGGGATTACAGGCTGAGCCACCGAGCCCGACCACTAGTCATATTTTGAGTTGGCTCCTTCGTCATGAAAGGTATAGTGGATTAACTTTCCAAAGACCATTCACATCTATTTTTCCTTGCCTTCCACTATTATGAAGGCTAGAAGCTAAACTATTCATAATCCCTTGCAGCAAGTGGGAGATACATAACTGGTTCTGACCCATTAAATATCAGTAGCGCCATGCTCAGTGGCTCACACCTGTAATTCCAGCACTTTGGGAGCCGGAGGCAAGAGGATTACCAGAGCCTAGCGGTTTGAGACGTCATCTCTACAATAGATCAGAAAATTAGCCAGGCATGGTGGTGCACACCTGTGGTTCCAGCTACTTGGAAGGCTGAGGTGAAAGGATTGCTTGAGCCCATCAGGTCAAGGCTGTAGTGGTAGTGAGCGTGCGCACTGGACTCCAACCTGTGTGACAAAATAAGACTCTGACTCCAAATATATATATATCAGTAGAAATCACCTGATAGGGCTTCTTGGAAAGCTTTTAAAGGGAACATGCTGGTTTAGTAACATCTGGAGGCTATTTTAAAAATAATACTAAGCCGGGCTCAGTGGCTCAGCCTGTAATCCCGCGCTTTGGGAGGGAGAGAAATAGAGCCAGAATCCTGCAGGCATTGAGGACTTCTGGATCAAACTGTTCTTGAAGGCTATTTTTCCTTTTACCTTTTATTATTTTTTTTATTTTAAAGTCCGGGGTATAGCCGGGCTCGGTGGCTCAGCTTGTAATTCCGCGCCTTTGGGAGGCTGAGGTGAGTGGATTGCCTGAGCCCGCGGGTTCGAGACCCGCCTGGGCAACTTGGCGAGACCTCATCTCTACAATAAAATCAAAGAGTTAGCCGGGCATGGTAGCGCACGCCTGTAGTTCCAGCTACTTGAAAGGCTGAGGCGGAAGGATCGCCGGAGCCCAGCAGGTCGAGGCTGTGGTGGCCGGGAGCGGTCACTGCACTCCAGTCTGGGCGACAGATTGAAACTCCAACTCAAAAAACAAAAACAAAAACAAAAGATCTGGGGTATAAGTCAAGATTGGGAAACCAAAAAATTAGCCGTGCATGGTGGTGCGTGCCTGTAGTTCCAGCTACTTAGAAGGCTGAGGCAGGAGGATGGTCTGAGTCCAGCAGATCAAGGTTGCAGTGGCCAGGAGTGTGCTACTGCACTCTAGTCTGGGCAACAGAGTGAGATTCTAACCCCCCAAAAAAAGTACTCTTCATTTGATGCAATACATCTGTCAAGATGCTTTCCCCACTGCTCAAAACAGTTTTGTTGTTGTTGTTTTGTTTTTTGAGTTGGAGTCTCACTCCGTCACCCAGGCTGGGGTGCAGTGGCACACTCACGGTCACCCCAGCATCAACCCGCTGGGCGCTGGCGATCCTTCTGCCTCAGCCTTCTGAGTAGCCGGAATTACAGGCACGCACTACCATGCCCGGCTGATTTTTTGATTTAATAGAGATGAGGTCTCGCCAAGTTGCCCAGGCGGGTCTCGAACCCGCGGGCTCAGGCAATCCACTCACCTCAGCCTCCCAAAGCGCGGGATTACAGGCTGAGCCACCAAGCCCGACCCTAAAACCGTTTTTTTAACTAGTCGATTTTGATGCCTGTTGGTGCTTTTGCCATTTTTTTGGTTTCACCTCTTCCACGTTGGCAAAACGTTTCCCTTTAAGGACTTTTTTCATCCAAGGGGGAAAAAAAAAGTTGATCAAACCAGGTGAACACGAGCCCTTAAGAAGATCTGGGCCTGAAATGAGGCTTTATTTGGGTCTGAAGGAGAAGCAAACATTCAGGCAAAGTAGGAAGGCCCGGGCTCCAGGCTGACAGACTGCCTTTCCAAGATGGGCCTGGAAGGGGATGCCTGAGGGTGGGTAGGGACAGGCAGGAGGCTCAGGTCAGTGACGGTCGCCCCAAGGTTTGCGAGCGTTCAGCCTTGTCCTCTTCCACCCTGGTGCTGATGGAGGAGCTGACCATGGATGGTCTCCGAGACGACGCACTCAACATTCCGGAGGAGGAGACATAGGTGTAGTAGGATTCTGAGACAATGAGGTTGTTGACCTTCCAGCAGAGGAGGTTGCAACCCTTCACCATCAGGGGCCACAGGAAGCAGATGATGATGTAGAGGACCACCAGGCCCAGAAACACACTGGCTGACACCTGCAGGCAGCCAGCCACCGCGTGAGTGGAGCCTGGGGCCCCGCCCACCCAGCAGGGCAGCTCCGGCCCGGTCAGCTCACCACAAAGATGAAGACGGCCCGCTTGGCGCTGAGCGGGAGCCCGTGGATGTGCAGCAAGAAGGTGAGCTGGTAGTCGCAGTATGTGCTGTTGTCCACAGCTCTGGGGGCCCGGGGGGATGGGGTGCAGGATTAGGGGGCAGCTGGGCCCCCAGGGGCAGCCCCAGCCCTCACCTGGGCCACGTGCCTGGCTCACCTATTGCTCACCAATACCTTGAAGAAGAATTCGGGGGCGGAGATACTCTGGGGAATGGTGTCATAGCATGGAGAGTTCTCCAGACACAGCCACCTGGGGGCCCAAGTTCAGCACTTGTGCCACCAGCCACACCCGGCGTGCGCGAACCCAGCTCCCGACTCCCTTCTCCATCCCACGCGCTCTGGGCAAGCGCCAACTAGGTGCAGTCTCATACTTGCCCTCACTGATTCCTTCATTCATTCATCCAGTGGTGCTGACCGAGTGCCGGCCATGGGACAGGCTGTTTACATCGATTCCCTCCCGCCTCACGCCTCCCTCTGTCAATTGCCTGCTACTACGAATCCACCCGGATCCTGGATTGTGTGCCCATGGTGTCTGACTCCTTATCTATTCCTTGCTGCCTTCATTCCTTCATCCCACAATCTGGCCTGCCCACTTACTAGGTGCAAAGTCACGTCTTGCATTTACTCCCTCCTTTATTCACTATTCAGTAAATCCAGGCAAAATACTGACTAAGTGCAAGTTGGTTAATTTGTTCATTCATTCGCTGCCTTCATTTGCTTATGGCATCATTCTCTTCCTTTCATTGAATCAAGCTTGGTTTTTTTGGTTTTTGTTTTGTTTTTTGAGTCAGGGTTTCACTCTGTCGCCCAGGATGGAGTGCAGTGGCACGACCATGGCTCACTGCAGCCTCAAACTCCTGAGCTCAAGTGATCCTTCCATCTCAGCCTTCTGAGTAGCTGGGACTACAGGCACGTGCTGCCCCGCTAATTTTTTTATTTTTCGTAGAGATGAGGTCTCACTATGGTTCCCAGGCTGGCCTTTGACTTCTGGGCTTAAGTATCCTCCTGCCTCAACCTCCCAAAAGGTTGGGATTCCAGGTGTGAGCCGCTGCACCCAGCCAAGTATAATAGTTATTGACTCCCTGTATACTAATTTGTTCAGCTATTGTTTTACTTATTCATTCAAACCTCCATTCAAACATCAATACATGCCTACCATGACTTAATGTATTCGTTTGTTCATTCTTTCATTCAACAGATACTATGCTGAGTCTGTTCAGGACCTGGTTCCGTAAGGGACACAGATCCCACAAGAGACAGTGACAGCCCAGGGGGGTTAGGCTTGGGATGGGGAAGGCCCAGGCACAGGGGTCAGGCCAGGGTGCCAAGGCTCAGGAAGCCGGGTCAGGGCCAGGGCGCGGAGGCATAGAAAGTCATGGAATAGGAGAGACGTGGGAACCAAGAGAGGACAGCTGAACAGCCCTCCTGGCCGAAGGCGCATGGGAGCTAAAGCCTGGAGAGAGTCGAGGGGAGCAGCGTTCCAGGCAGGGCGTTCGGCTTGTGCAAGGCCAGCCCCGTCTGAGGAACACAAAGGCGGCAGCGAGGCTTGGGAGTCAAGAAGCCTCCCAGAGGCAGGAAAGGACTGGCAGCCCGATGGACTGTGGGCAGGTGGGGCCGAGGGGTCTCGCGGCCGGGGCGCGCACTCACTGGATGCCCGAGCTCCTGTGGGACAGGATGTGGAAGGCCAGGTCTTCGGTGGTCGTTTCGGTACTCGTGGTCCAGATGCGGCTGTGGGTCCTGAGGGGCAGCAG